CTTGGGAGGGGGGGGAGAGGGTGGAGGTCGCGGGGCTGCCACCATCCAAGGCTGCACCCACCACTGTTGGTATGATCTCCCAAAGCCCTAGATAGGTGGGTGCGACCGTTAACACGGATTCTAGCACCTAACGGACAGCCGAGAGCGTCCCAGACAGGAAACAACACCACCAAAGAGGGGATCGGAAAGACACCTTGGGGAGGGGGAGAATGGGGGGCCTCGCATTGCAACCGTCTATAATGTTTGTTAAATGGTTTTTGTCCCTGTTTTGTTATTTATGCTGGCAAACAATTGCTAGGCGTTGTCAAGGTTATGTAGTCACAGCAACAAACTAGGGTTAGACCTAGGGCCCAAGCCGGATAGTCCACATGTGGGCCACCATGGGGAGGGGTGGCGATGGCGGGTGGGGTCTCTGGGATGGGAACATGCTCGGACAGTTTGCAAACCGACACGACAGGTGAGCTGGGAGCCAAGGGAAGGGCTTGACATGACATAACCAAACGATCCAGACTAGAAGGACCCCACACCCCAAGTAACAGACTCACGTTGTATATACACTCGGAGGCCAGCGAGGTGACTCACCCCTAGGGGAACAGACACCGGAGAGCGACAAAAAACCGAGGCGAGTCACAGTTGCCTAACTCTCGGACAGACTTACCCCTTCCCCGGATGCCGGACCGACCTACCCCTATACCCACTGACACACACATCCCCACACACACCTCACACATACCGCCTATAGCAATGGGCTCTAACTATAAGCCGACTCCGCTGACCCTGTGGTCCAATAATGTAAGAGGCCTAAACATTCCCGAAAAGAGGTCCCAACTAATTCGCACACTGTGGGCAGAGCGCGCCTCAGTGGCGTTTCTACAGGAAACTCATCTTCAGGGCACAGAGGCGCCGACCGTGAAAAACGGGCGCTTCCCCATAGGATTTTATGCCAACCACCCAGAAGGGAAAAAGGCCGGAGTCGCAATCCTGATCTCCAGTGCAGTCCCATTCGTCTGCATGGAGCAGAGGTCAGACCCGGGGGGTAGATACATATTTATCAAGGGCACAATTGCACAGACCACCTACACATTTGCCTGTCTGTACTCCCCTAATCGACGCCAACACATCTTCCTAACTAAGACGCTAGCATTACTAAACAAATTCAGGGACGGCCTTCTGATTGTGGCGGGAGATCTCAATACACCCCTTGACCCTAGAATAGATACATCCAGGGGAGACACATCGATACCAGGACACTGCATATGCACGACAGGGAGGGCTTTAGCCCGGTGTGGCTTGGCCGATAGTTGGAGGGTAGCCCACCCCGAGGGCAGAGATTACACCTTCTATTCGGCTGTGCACCGGCGTTACAGCCGAATAGACTACATCCTAATGGCTCAAGAGGCCCTCACACTACTCCAACGAGCCAACATAGGACTTATAGCAGACTCAGACCACGCCCCCACAACAGTACAAATCCAGTCCCCCCTACATAAACCCACTGAACGGCAATGGAAGTTAAATGAAAACCTATTGCTCGACCTAACGGACAAGGAACAAGCCAGGCAAGCACTGACACAATACTTTGATACCAATAACACGCCAGACACTCCCCCCCTAACCGTATGGGAGGCACATAAATGTGTCAACCGGGGCCACTATATCAAAACATGCTCACAGCGCAAAAAGGAAAGCACGCAACAATTGTCTACCCTAAACACACAAATCGCCACATTAGAGCAGGCACACAAACAAAACCAGGGGGAGGACGAATTTCATCAACTGACGGAGCTTAGGAGGCAAAGGCGGGACATACTATCCAAAGGACTTTTGCGCACCCTTAGAAAGTCAGCCCGACACTTCTTCGAGTACTCCAACAAGAGCGGTAGGCTTTTAGCCCGCCAGCTTCAGGACAGACGAAGGGCGAACCATATACACAAAATTAAAACAAGAGACAAGACTGAAACAAGTATGCCCGACGGAATCCAGCGGGCCTTCGTGGACTACTACACAGACTTATATAACATCCCCAAACCCACGACAGCCACCGCACATGCCCAACGCCGCCACCTAATATCGGAATACCTAGACCAAAACGTAGAACGACAACTTACACCTGAAATGTTGGAGGAATTAGAGCAACCCCTCACGATAGAAGAGCTAGCGGCTGCATTAAAACTTTCCAAAACCCATAGGGCTCCTGGCCCAGACGGCCTCCCAATAGCCTACTTACGAACATTCCGCGACATTTTACTGCCGAACCTTCTACGGGGCCTCGAGTCGCTTCGAGACGGGGAGAAGTTCCCCACGGACTCATTAGCGGCCATAGTCACGGTAATACCCAAGGAAGGCAAGGACCCAACGAACTGCGCAAGCTACCGTCCCATATCCCTGCTCAATGCAGACCTCAAATTGTTCGCCAAGACACTAGCCCTGCGAATCGCAAAGCACCTACCACACCTGGTGCACTCGGATCAGGTCGGGTTCGTACCTGAAAGGGAAGGAAGGGACAACACCATTAAAGCCCTAAACATTCTGCAAGTAGCAAGGTCGCAACACCACTAGCTTCTCCTTCTCTCGACAGATGCCGAGAAGGCTTTCGACCGAGTGGACTGGGTGTATCTGGAGGAGACACTCAGACACTTGGGATTCGGCCCTCATATGCGGTCATGGGTCCTCTCCCTATACACGAGGCCAACGGCTCGGATACGGGTGAACGGAGCCCTGTCCGCCCCCTTCCCCATTCGGAACGGAACCCGCCAAGGATGCCTGCTGTCCCCCCTCCTGTTTGCCCTCTCCCTGGAACCCTTCCTGGGGGCGGTCCGACGGGACGGGGGCATCGCGGGATTCACCGTTGGCCGACAAGAATATCGGGTAGCCGCATACGCGGATGATATGTTGTTTTTCCTCACCCAACCGCAGATCTCACTGCCTAATCTTCTGGCTGCATTCCGAAGATTTGGCTTGATATCTAACCTTAAGCTCAACACAGATAAGTCTGAGGCTCTTCACCTACCAGGCCCTCAGGATCCCTCCCCGACGCTACATACCCAATTTCGTTTCAAGTGGTGCCCCACTAAATTGAAATACCTGGGCTACCTAAAGACATGACCCAACTGTACTACCAAAATTACCACCCGCTGCTACAAACGATCCAGGCAGATATGAGAAAATGGGCCCCGCAATATATATCTTGGTTTGGACGCATTAACGCAGTCAAAATGAACCTACTACCCAGGCTGCTCTACTTGTTCCAGACGGTGCTGATCGCTGTCCCCAGAGCGTTTTTTAGCTCCTTGGCGACCGCCATCCGCAGATTTGTCTGGAACACGCGCCCAACGTGCATCAAGAGAACCACTTTGGAACTGCCAAAACTGTTGGGGGGAGCCGACATGCCCTCAATAGAGACGTATTACCGGGCCGCACACTTACACAGGCTCACAGACTGGCACGCGCAACATCCCTCAAAACAATGGGTCACAATGGAATTAGAACAGTCAGGTGGACGCATACCCCCCACATTATGGCTACACACGGCCACGTACACAGACCTACAAACCCAAAATCCCTTAATAGATGCCACCCTGAGGGTCTGGATGGCTATCCGATATCGCCTACAACTTACCACTTCCCCCAGCCCCCTGACCCCTCTCATACATAACCCGGACTTGGCAGATACGCTAACGCGCGGCGACTTAGCCGGACTTCAACCTACGGACTGGGCATATATACACCAGTGGTTCAGTACCAACGGTCTCAAAACACTCAGGGAATTATGCCCCGACAGAACACCTACATTCTTAGAACAGTTCAGATACAGCCAAATAAAATCATATTACTCAACCTTGTTGGGAAAGGGGCACTTACACAGACCCTTAACTGACTTCGAAACCTTATGTGTGCACCGCACACATATCTCCAGGGGTATCTCAACCCTGTACACACTACTCTTGACCCAGATGAACAGAGACGTGGAGCTTAGGTTCAAGGAACACTGGGAGAGAGATGCAGGAGAGACACTCACAGCACATGAATGGGACAAGATTTACACCCTTACGCACAAATGCTCTATTAGCTCGAAATTTCAGGAATTAAACTATAAAGTGCTAACACGCTGGTACAGAACGCCCGACACACTGCACCGCATGCACGAAACCATGTCAGACACATGCTGGCGATGTGGCACTCACCCCGGCACCTATATCCACTTATGGTGGTCATGCCCAGTAATTACCCCTTTCTGGGAACAAATTAGAGGGGAAATCAACAAAGTCACTGGCGCAGATATACCCCTGGCACCCTTAACAATGCTTCTGCACCACACCCGAAGCCCTCTGAAAGTATACAAAAAATCTCTAGAGCTGCCGCTGCTCAATGCCGCCAAATCCCTCATCCCGAAGATGTGGAAACAGCCAGGAGCGCCCACCTTGGGGCAATGGGTGGCGGCAGTGGAGGACGTATACTCAATGGAAACCCTGACGGCCGACCTCCACGGGAAACCGGCTCGATGCGCATTGACCTGGTACCCATGGACCACATACGTGGCGGATAGAACAAGGGCCCCCGAACCAACCTAGCTGAAACGCACACAATACCTCGACAAGCTCCTCACATCCCGTAGGCATAGACACAACATACCCAACTACCACACACAGACAACTGACAGGTTTCCCCCCGACCAAAACTGACACCCCCGAACGGCATTGTACCGACCGAGACAACCGACCCACCCTACCAGGACCTGGAGCAATCCAGGACAGACAACCTAACGCAACCAGAAGCACAGAGACAGGTTTGAGACATGTGGGGGAACACTGGACCCCGGACATATGATGAGACCCCAAAGCTCACGCTCCACACCCAGAGCACTGCACCTACAGTTAGTAAACTGCCTCCAAGTTGTATG